CAGACAGAAAATGGGTACATGCATGAATTGTAACACAAAACGGTGAAACCAAATGATGCATACAGGCCTATATGAAGGCTATTTATTTTTACACTTTTATATTTAGATGCTGATTGAATTTAGCGCACTAGTAGGGTTTGGAAATTGCATTTCATTTCATTTCATGAAGTAAATTAAGGAAATAATGAAGTATTGGGACAAATGATTTCCCTTGGTTCAATCGTATTCAAGATTATAATAAAAGCTCGACCTGCATTGCCTGTGCTTTTGCATAGCATTATCGTACCCATTTCCATAACTGTTATACTTTGGCATCATCATAGCTCTCGATAACGACCGTGTTGAGTGTGACTTGGGACCCTTTACAATAGGTCAGGAGTATTACTGGTGAAGTTTTAAATATTTCGACGAAGTGAACACGTTAACACTCCTTCAGAGCAGCGCCTCGGAACAAATAATAATGATTTTATTAATGGATGAGTGCAAAATTAAAGAACCAAAGAGTCAAACAGAGAGGCACGAAAACTTTTTTTTTCGCTGAAAAAAGAACAGGTCACATTGCCATCCAGACAAGTCGTTGACTGTAACATCTGGCAATTTATTAATGCTGACTGTATGACATCCATATTACTTAATTGCCTTTATTCTTCTTTTTACGTTATTCTGAATATAGTTTATGTTAGCATTCATTTTCTCGTTCATAATCATTACCAATTTCTATTTATGTTCATCATTATTGATATTCACTTATAAAAACATTATTAGTAAATAGATTCATTTGTAATTTAACTGGTTTGATATATTCCATAGGATGCATATCATTATTATTAGAGCTAAACACACTTCACATCATCAAATCATGAAGCCATTGCTAAAACAATGCCAATGTTGACATCACGAGTGCTGGAAATTGCCTACATCCACAATCCCATTCCGTGTATAGGGGAAAACCATTAGCTTCACACATGCTGAAATGATTAAGCTCAAATCAGATATAAATTCGATCCATTAGACTTCTGAGAGGGACAATTAGAGACCGATAATTGATTTAATTATTTTCATTCCTAAAGAGTTATGGGGGACGTCGTTCATTTGGCCAGGACGGTCTATAAATCAGAATTTAACCAATTAGTTGATGAGTCAGGACTGTGTTCATGAGGCAGTTGCTGTGATGTTATTATAGGTCCGGTGTGCTAATGGGGTAGTGGAAGGGGTGGAAGGAGAGGGTGTGGGGATGAAGGGGAGGGGTGACTGTAGGTGCGGGGGTGAGGAATGGGTGGAAGGGTGTAGAGGGAAGTGTTTTTGAGGCAGTGAGGAGAAGGGGTGGGTGTGGGGATTACTGGTGGGGTGGGTGTGTGGGTGAAGGGGAGAGGTGTGGGTTGAATGGGAGGAGTGGTTGCCGGAGTGAAAGGAGAGGGGGAGGTGCGGTGATAATGAAGAAGGATAGGTGTAAGGGTGAATAGTGGTGATGGAGTGTGTGGAGGAGTGAGTGGATGTAAGTGTGAATAGGGAAAAGTAGGTTTGGGGGACGAAGAGGAGGGCTGGGTGTACTGGTGAAAGGGAAGGTTTTACATAGGGCTGAAGGGAAGGGCGGATGAGGTGATACTGGAAGTGGGGAGGTAACATGAAGTAGTGCTGGTGAAAGGCTTATGATGGTGCTGATGAGAATGGGAGAAGGGGTTGGAGGCCCAGAATAATAATGAGCTTTGGATATGAAGGTAATGACAGTACAGGAGGGCTGATGGTGATGGGTTGTGGAGATGTGATGTTGGGGAAGGTGGTGGTGATTAGATGGTAAGGGGTTTTGGTTGTGGAAATGGGGCGGTGGCAGTGGCGGTGATGATGGGGTACGGTGGTGAGAGTGTGATTGTGGTGGTGTCAATGATGGTGGAAGAGCTGCCTATGGTGACGCTGGAGGTGTTGATAGTGGTGGTGATGGTGGTAGGGGTGGTCTAACACGTGTTATTCAACGTCAGTAAAAAAAAAAAAAAAAAAAAAAAAAAAAAAAAAGCGATTATTTTCAACCAGTGTCAAAAAAAAAGAGAAAAAAACGACTATCTATTCATTGCATAGATACATAAACAAGCAAAATAATATAACACGTCGACATGATCCGTGGTAGCTCGAGTCACAGCAGAGAAACAAAAACATAATCCTTCACACAGAAACTCGATCTCCCACAAAACCTGTATGATCAGCACTACACAACGCAAGGCTGGCTTCCTTCCCTTTTGCAGTTGCATTCGGGCGTGCAACATATATCTCCCTTTACACACGAAGATTTGTTACAAAATTGGTGAACTGAATTTGAGAACTGAGAATGATATAATGCAATTACAGAATAGCAATTAAATGATTGTATATTATCATGATCATGAAGATTTCTGTGAAACTGACGAGAAAGCAGGAAATGAGGACGAGGCTTTCTTTGGTATTTATTTCTAGTAGTATTAATGGTGTTGGTGATGATGATTAAATGACCATGTTAATGAACTGTAAT